AGCAATTCAATCACACTTGATAGCGAAATTCTGGAAGATGTAGAGTCCTTCACATACCTCGGAAGCATCATCGATGAACAAGGAGGTTCAGATGCAGACGTAAAGGCGAGGATCGGCAAAGCAAGGGTCGCATTCCTACAATTGAAGAACATATGGAACTCAAAACAACTTTCAACCAATATCAAAGTGAGAATCTTCAATACGAACGTCAAGGCAGTTCTACTGTATGGAGCTGAAACTTGGAGAACTACAACAACCACAATCAAGAAAGTACAAGTATTTATAAATAACTGTCTACGCATGATACTCAACATCCATTGGCCGGATACCATCAGCAATAGCCTTCTGTGGGAGAGAACAAACCAACTTCCAGCCGAAGAAGAAATTAGGAAAAGACGATGGAAATGGATAGGACATACATTACGCAAATCGTCAAACTGCATCACGAGGCAAGCCCTAACTTGGAATCCTGAAGGGAAGCGAAAAAGAGGAAGGCCAAAGAACACATTGCGTCGGATAATAGAAGCAGATATGAAAACGATGAATTACAACTGGACGGAGCTAGAAAGGATTGCCCAGGACAGGGCTGGATGGAGAATGCTGGTGAGCGGCCTATGCTCCTTCACGAGGAGTAACAGGCGTAAGTAAGTAAGTAAGTAAGTACAATATGACTTTGAAACTATTTTAAAGAGTGTGATAAATAGAGATTATAAGTTTTATCTTTAACTCAAATTAAATGGTTTTCAGGAGATTGTCTTTTGTTTTAGCAATGAAATTCGGTGAAGAGACTACTTAAAGTTATTTTCTTTTAGTTTACGACTCCATGTAGCTGAATTCTGGATTAAATTTGCAATACATAAGTTTCACAGTGTAAACGGTGATGTGGTCTAATCGGCGCGGGAAAAACGTCAGACCATTTCCACAACCTTAAACGCCCTCACGAGAGGCGGTGATTCCGTATTTCAAATGCTGTGGGTTTGTTGGATGTCCGTTGGGTTGCACGGCTATCAGATATTCTCATTTAAGTGATCTTTTGCTGCAGCAAAACCACAAAATCATTGCAAAAAACATTGATTTAGCTCTCTTTCTCTTGCATAACACTTTGATTGCGGTCTATTTTTGACTTTTTAAACGGTGAATTTCACTTCCCTGAGTTTTTATTGTTATAAATAACCAAATTAGGCTGACTAAACATTCACTCAGGTTGTAAGCGATAAATAAGTCAAACTACTATTAAACTGAAATAAAAGCTATGTAACAAGCACAAACATCACGAAAATTGACGTGTGACGGAAAAAATGCTGTTAATAGCTGATAAATAACGACATCTGAAAATCCCAGGGCTTAGCGTCCTAACCGTGCCAGTCTAATCATGGTTTTATATCATACATATATGTATGAACTATAGTTTTCTGTTACAAAACTAATTTTTTGGACTGTTAATTTTTGATCTTATTGCTAGAACTTCGGTTAGATTTTGTATCAGTTTAAACCGATTTTTATCTTTTCACTTCCATATTGTTTGTAGAAACATTGGAAACAGGTGTTTATTCCCAGCTGACATAACGTTTTAGGTTGGTAAAACCAGGGAAATATCACTGAGCTCTAATGAAATCATCTGGCAGTTCGTTCACTGAATTTCAAATAGTTCATTGATCCTCGTCAATATCAAGAAAAACTAACGCTCATCGGTTTAATTGCACACCATGAACTGATCCATGCAGCAGGCATCTCAATCTCTTCCTTATACATATTCATACTAATATATTTCTGTTATAACGTCGTTTGTGTTATACAGTCTTCAAGGCAGCCATAATACTTTGATACGACAAAAGAGTAATTTACGTTAAGTACTAACCCCAAGGTGTGACTTTGACATTAGCGGGTTGCTCTTACTCGAATATGACCTCAATTATCAAACATAGATCATCAATTTAGTGATTTATAAGTGATTATTCATCGCTTTATCAATAGAAATAAAGTCCTGCACCTACTTTTTGCTTAGGGAACATTATCAGTAATCATGATATTGTCTAATCATTTTTAGTTAAGTTTCTTGCCTGAGATGGATAATTCAATTGTGAAACTTTCAATGCTCTTCTGAATAATCACACACTCAAGGTTGACAGATAGAGCTGTTGGTCATATGAGCAGAAATTCGAGTACTTCATTTCAACCTGAATTTTTTGCCGAATACGTTGTTTATTGAAAGCTCTACGATCAAATAATTCAGACCAGAGGATGTAACTAGAGCAGAATCATCCAATTAATGTACAAATCTGTTGAATCAAAACGTATCTGGTATTAAGAACTAGTTGATGTACTATTTTACAGTCAGAATCATTTATTTGTTTTACCTGAAAAGCGAATCATATTAAGGCACGAAAGTTCAGAAATGCTTGTTTAGATTCACATTTCTCGTCACCGCGGCAAACGAAAGATTGTTTAGGGAATTTCGATGCTTGGTGCTAGTCACATAACTACAAGGAAGAAAGCATTCTAGATCATTTTATTACTGTTATTGGCAGAGAAGCATATAGTTTGGTAAAGAACCTTATATATCCTGACAAACCTATTCTGCTTTCGCTGGACAAACTAAATAGATTATTAACAGATAATTTTCGCGTAACATCGCTCGAAACACGTGAGTGAGCACAGTTCAACCAATTGGTTCGTGCTCCGAATCAGGGCATTGGAGATTTTATAATACAGCTTCAGATGCAAGCTTAAGCGTGATTTCGGTGGATGACTGGATATTCAACTCCGTGACCGCCTGAGTGTTAGTATAAACGATTATAAATTAAAGAAGCCGCTAACACAAATTCATTCCTGAACTTTTCAGACATCACAGGACTTTTGTTTTACTTATGAAGATGTTAATGATGATCATCGTGGCGCCGTTACGAAACAACATGAAGGTTCACTATCAAATGCGGAAAATTTTTCTACATAGCAGAAAGCTAAGACTCCTAACAAGAACAGTTGTGATTCAGTCAGACATATGAATAATTCGAAACGTATTTTGAATTCGTCTGTGTGTTTCAATCCCGTTATTCATGTGTTAGGCTGCATCTTCGCAGATAATGTCAGTTCCATTATGCACGTTACTTTATATGTGAAAAAGGTGGATATGCACAAAAGTCTTTTGAAGTTTCAATAAGTTTACTACTAAAACACTGAATAATGGTGGATCAAGATCAACTGATTCCGAGTAAAGAATAAGTTAGTAATCTCTCACTACTCCCAGCGGGAGTACTTCACATTTCATGCAAAAATTAATCGATAACACAGAAAACTCCCACTTCTTTTTGACACTGACAGTATAGAACCAATTATTTCTTAGAGCAATTTATTGTTTGTTTATGATGATTTTTATAAACAGCTCAAAAACAGTGCGATCACTGACCACCTGTTTACAATTTTTGGTATAGCTATTATTTTCAATTGAGGAATAAAGAGGGTGGTCCAGTTAACATTCGTTTACCAGTTAGTATGGTCTATCTGTACTTGTTTTAAACGGCCTGAAATTACTTTGAGTTCTCCTTTCTTTATTCACTAATCCATCTAATATTGCCGTAGTCGAAGATACAGTCTTACAATGCTCAAAGGTTGAGGGAAGTGTAGTGACTCACGTTTATCACAAGAACACGACTGGTTTAATAAAAACAATTATTATTATAACCAACTGTACCAGTGTTTGTTTTAACGTGCTTTTGTTTGACTGTGCTAATGACGGCTATTTTGTGCTTCCATTCTTTTACTTACACTTCGATTGTAACTTCGCGCGAATTCGGTTACGTTCTGTAACCAAGCTTGTATCCTGGCACGATCTCGGTATCCTTTCGATGCCACGAGATCGCCAGCTAATAAACCTCGACTTGGTCCATTAACTGTCTTCTGATATTTGGCTTCTCGGGGATTTTATGGATCTATTTGGTTACGTCCAACCCTCGCCTTCTGATTTATTTGGCACGTGTTTCTTGGTAGCGGTGTTCATAGTTAACCCTCAACTTGACACCACGCTACAGAAGTATGAAAATTCACCCAGTACATTCGGAACTTAAGAGAGAGTCTGTCTTCTTAAAATGTAGACTGATTACATATGGTTTAATAGAGGTTGTGATGAAAGAGCTAGACAAACTGGTTGGAAAAGTGACAATAATGTCATTCGTGTTTTGCAGTTGGATTTCTTCAGTGGTGACTTCATTAAAGATAGTTTGAAAAACATCCGAAATTTGTGGTGATTACCTTTTGACACTGAATAATCCAAATTTGAGACAGACAAAATAATAAAATCGTATTGGTAAGCAGCTGGGAAAAATTAACAGAAATACAAATAAACCCAAACCGTATTATAGACAAATAGATCAACGTGTTTCGGGGTCGGTGAATGACTAACGAATCCTATCCTTACCGAAGTGACTACATCCACCTCAGTAGATAGATCCATGTAGAAATTTGACAAACGCTTATTTACCATCTCCATCTCGGACTGGTTTTGCCGGATGCACGTCTCGCAATTTACCCACTCTTATCATAATTGTATATTGGTAACTTATTACACTCTCTTCTATTATCGGCTCCGTTTTGCTTTTTCTTCTGACACTCACGTCTTCTTGCACTGTCTGCATTACTAATTAATCAACTCACATATCTGTTTATTTACCCCTTGAAAAAATCGTCTTTTATTTGCACTCTAATTTTCTCTTTACCGTTTACATGTTGTAGCCGGCGAGCCTCCTGCATGGTTAAATGATAACTGCTGGTATGCAGATACCCCATTGACCTCAGACAAACTCACTCAAATTACAATATATGCAAATTCATAAATAACTATCAAACTGACTACAATCAGTGCAGTCAAGTGGCTGAACCATCTTCCGCTTAACATTATCAACTACGTGTGACCGTAACGAAACAACAAGAAGAGAATGCAAAGGAGTCAGTTGACTTATACAAACTCGTGGCAGTGATATTGGATACTGGACAAAGAAATTAAAGGACCGCGTCTTTAGAAAGGTGCGTTACTGACTATGTTAGATACTAAATTTGGTTTCTAGCTTTGCTTTGGAAGTAAGACACTTATTTTTTATCATTTTCCCCACTAAAGTTGTTCACTGTACTAATGAAAATGTATGAGACGTATGTAAATGTCATGTGAATGCTACAAACTTTTTCAATTTAAGATGATAATTATCATATGCTTCAAGTTCTTAAGCTTACGTTGACTGATAATAGACACTGCCTTCATATGTGTGTTCGCACTTCGTTTATGTCAAACACCTTCCATGTGTTAGATTTTTCTTGTGATTTGTAATCTTAACTGTAATTCTAAATGTCCTTCGTGGTTAATGTCACACATTATTGAGTATTCTGTTTTCAAGTGGTATGTTTTCTTCTTAACTCACTGCGTTTAATGCGTGAAACTAGCTAGTCCGTTGTGTTCAAGTATATAAGGTATCGTGCAATACACGTAGCTTGGAAGCATACTTTTACTAGACCCCGAGCTCCCAATTTCGGGGGAAATTTGGCACATTTTGGGGAAATGGCACAAAAACTCCGAAATTTCCCCAGACCTGAGGGCATCCCCAAACTTTGGGGAAGGCTATTTCTTTTTGGGGATTTCCCCAAAGTTGGGAGCTTGGGACATGCCGCCCAACTGAAGAATCCAAAGGACAAGGGGTTAAAATCAATAAGTTGTCGCAACTCTCTTGCACAGTGATATTAATACGCCTCATGAGCTTCGAATGGTATTCACTTATTAAAGCCTAGGCTTCTCAAGGTTTCCTACTTGAAGAACAGGCTTCGAAATATCAGTATTTTGTTAGGTTCATGCAGAATAAAGCAGTATTGTCGATCCGTTTCACGACTCAAGTTTAGTTTGGGTCAAACGCTTGCCATACGACGTAAATTATTTTAGATCTTCGTTGCTCTGCTGTTTCAAAATTGTCTCGACTCGATCGTTAGATGTTTATTTTTTATTGTTATTGTTTCATAATCTGTCTGTTCAAAGTTGGATTCCATACCACGTGTGCTTCGGTAGTATTGCGCGTGTGGGTGACATCTTAAATTTGCAGTTATTTACGCTTCTCTATCGCGTCTTTCCAATCGATTACTAATTCGCCTTTGATTGACATCTCACTGTACTGCTCTCTTAGTCACACCCCGTAATAACCATGTATCACTTAACATACAGTAACCCCGATTTTCGCTATTTATATCTTTTGCCTTAACATGGGCCTAAACTGAGTGTATTTTAGTTTCGATAAACCTTTTTGTTAAATTTAATTTTTTTCAGTTGATGTTAACCTATACCACTGAAGCTTCTGGAGAACGTGAAGAAACATCTCTAAAGTGGGCCAAATTACTTTCCGTGCATGATTCATTCATGCATGAACTTTCTCAGGAAGTAATTACTATTGGATCATCTGAAGGTTCTTTTTCCTTCTTTTTAATCATTTCAAATAATTTTGTATTCGTTATTCAGAATGTATGATTGTTATAAAACATGAAGAAGTTTCAAGTTCACATTGCCTTTTGATGAAAGATCCAGACGATGTCATATGGTTGTACGATTGTAGCAAGACTGGGACACGTTGTAATGATGGCAAGTGGTTACAGCAAGATTGTGTCACGCTTCACACTGGTGACTATTTCTACCTTTTATGGGATGAAGTCGATGTGACTAAGCGTAGGTTTATCTATACTGCCAGAAAAGAATAATATTTATGTGCCTGTTTCTTAAGGAGTTGGATTCTGCGTTCTTTTTGTTGATGATTTTAAACTTTTGGCTTCCTCTGGTGAGTCTGATAAGATTGAAACTACGGAACTACCGTTACAACCATCATCATCACAGTTTATGAAGCCATCAACATCAAATGATGATACTGATTTAGAAAATTGCTTAACATGTGTTATTTGTGGAGATATCTATTTCGAGTGTTGTAGGTACGTTGACTACACTTGCCCGTATGATGTCGTTTTTTCCAACACAGTGTTCAACCATGTTTACACAGTTTCTGCACACTCTGTTGGTTGAGATGTAAAAGATATGAATGTCCAATGGTAAGTCAGATTGTATTATTTCCTTGATTATTTTCTCTTCCCGTTATGTTTGCTTTAAGTGTCGTAAATCAGTGTCAGCGTATGCTAAAAATCACCAATTAAATAATTTAGTTGATGTATTCCTTCGTAAACATCCAGGTAAGAATTCTTACGTTTGATTATGTGTATGTCTTATCATCATTATTTTATTTATAGAGAAGTTAAAATCTGAATCCGAACAAAATGAAATAAAGCAAGAAATTGCAAGATTAACACGCGTAAGCGCATAATATATTATGGAACTTCTAAAATTAAATTTTATTAGCTTCCAAATCACACTCGTCGATACAATAATCGAACTAGAAGGTATGTGTATGTATGAAAGAGTGAGAGAATAATTTTTTTGTTTATGTTTTTCTACTTATCACCATATCTTAATTGGTTTTGTTTATTGAAAATAAATACACATCTGAAGTTGTTTGGAGTGTAATAATCTTTATGATACATTTCTCTCTAAATGTCAGATATAGATTGGGAACTGCTCTTAGTCATTACCCTGACTAATCAAACGACACAAAGTAGTTGGGTGCTTTGACTATGCTTAACTATAAACTCATCAAATCTGATTCTTTGGTTTGCTGATGATATTTCGGCAAGGATTCAAAACACTACTTTATCGTCCATCAGTTCTCACCACCTATGATGTAGACAAAATCACCATTGGTGAGGATACTGTGCAGTCGTCCAATTTATGTAGCTCTTCCGTCGAGTGGGGCTCAAGCTTTGAGTACATAAGTAGGTTACTAGTATTTTACCATATCGTCCCTTCGAAATACTAGTGTCATACGATGGAACAACAAAACAAGAAAGAGTGTAGTGAGTTAGCTGGTGGGACTATGTGTTTTCGTCTAGTGAGAAGTTTTCTACATATCTCCGAATACTGCATATATCGACCGTGACTTGCGCAGTAGTAGGTTAAAGGAAAAGTAAGGGTAAGCAAACCAAAACACTACATCACTCCAGAAAGTCACTTAGTGTTGAACTGAGCCATGTTTATAGGTACAAACTAGTACAATCAAGTTATAGTCCTCGTGTTTATATTGATTAATGGTTAGACGGTTTTAATGATAGAACTCTTAAGTTGGTCACATTTGTGCAAAGCCGTTTATTTCTTATCTTCTGATTGTTTATTTTCAGTGTTATTTCGTACGTTTTGTTTCTTGATTTCATTTTTGCTTTTTGGACCATAAGCTTTATACTTAATCTTTTTCATACTATGATTGATACTACTATTATTTCGACTTACTTGCTTTCACCCCATTAATTTCATCCTATTATGCTAATATAGTGTGATAATTTGAGCTAATGCTTATTTATGCCAGGTCTTACATTGATCATGACCAATTTTAGTCACTGAAGACAATAAATTCCATTTATTAGTTGAATTTCTTACCTTTTCGTTTCTTTTTCTCTATATATCGATTTCGTTTAGGAATAGAGAGAGAATTACTCTTCCTGGTGGTGACTATGGTTTACTGAGTAGTTCCTCTGGCGTCTTTCCTGTTGTTCCGACCATCACTACCACCGCAACAATTCGCAGTGTTTCTTCTGGTCCGATAATTATGCCCACTTCCTTACCGATGAGTGCTGGTTGTGTTATATGTTCATGGTTACCACCATCATATGACCGTCGTGGCAATAGTATGACAAGTATTAGTGGCATTACTCTTGGCGACCATGGTCCAAGAATTGAAGAATGTGAGTTTATTCCGGTATAAATACATAATACGTATGTTTATGGTCGTTAGATAACAACCTTTTTTGAATTCATAATATTACAAATCAACAGTATCCACATTAAACTAAGAAATTCAAGTTTATCTACAAACGTATTCACATGGTATTACGATACATACTTCAGTCTGTAATGTGTAATATTTTTCAGCTCGTTAAATGCTGTTAAGATTCATGTTAGTGGTTGTCATTTCTCAGGTTTTTCATACTGTAGTACCTGAAAAGGATAATGAGTTAGTAGTGACTTTGTTCACCTAGAAGTACCGTCTCAGAGCCAAAGGGCAGCTGGTTGAGGTTGGTCAAACATGACCTTTCCGAGTAGTTTTTATTGTGTTAGTTCCATGCTTTTGAGGCGTTACTACCGGTATCGGAAGTCAAAGTAAGGTGTATTGTTTTTAGAACCTACCTTTTCTAAACCCCTCCTCTTTGGGAAAGTAGCATAGTTAAAGATAATAATTATCTGCGGGGAAAACATTAGTACCATTCAACCTCAGTACACTTGATGTTACGACTTTTCTCTTAGATCTTGAATTTACCACTTTTAATCCTACCCCTCTCAGGTCGACTTACCTGAGGAGGGGAAACCTTATGGAACAAGTGTTCAAACCATTATAACGTGGTTAGATTGTCACAATAATCTGTTTAATTATGATTACTATTATAAATGAGAGTGGATACTGAGAACTGAGAACAGTTGATTTCTAGTTAATAATTTGAAAATTCTTGATAATTTAGGGTAAAGTGCCAATCCAAAATTAATATTTGCACTAACTGACCACTAGACATTACCCTATGTTATACTTGTGTTGTCCTTTGTTCTAATTAAACACTATTGGTCAATAAGTTGAAATGTGACTATTTCTCTAAACGAATCGACATTATGCGCACTAGTGTTTTAGCTTGATATGGTGTTTGGTCATCAGCAACGAGCCTTATCTGTATATTCTTAGTAGTCGATACTTCGGTGAATTACTTTAGTGAGCCATTAGAAAACAGTGGTTATGGTCCATAAAATAAATGACAATAGAATGGGTAAAACCGCAGTTTCATATGGTATGGCTCTATCTCCTGTTTTCTATTCACTTGTGCTTTGATACTTGATTTCGTGATCGAATATATTTAGTCATCCATTCTAGTCTAGTAATCGTGCGACTAGTCTTCTTTACTATATTTTATTACCCGTTTCTTTTGCTGTAGAATACCATAAATTCTTCAAATACTGAAAGACTACATTAGCGCCAGATTTTTGGTAGCCGCCCAACAAATATTAGAATGCAATAGAAAGTCGTCATAAATTATCCAAATGTTGTGTGAATACTCATTTGTTCATATGTAGATTATGTTGAGAACACAAATTAATCATTTCTAAATGGTTTTTTATTTGCCCCAAGTTAACTCACAATCAAAACATGTTACTGATGATATACTGACCAATATGCGCTTATAGCGTACAGGTGCTAAAACAGATTAAGACGACTGTAATACGGCATCCATATTGTTGTCCCATAACATCATTTCGTTGATTCTCCAGTGATTCTTATCATAAAGACTGTAATTGAGATTGGGGCTATTTGGTACTTTTCACTTGACTATTTATGACTTTATAAGGAATTTGTGGAGAAAATGATCGAATTATGATAGAAAAGCAGCTTTACAGAAATGCAGTTTTTGGTTTTATGTTTGCAATTCTCATAAATTACTCAAAGACTCTGTAGGAATAAATTTGTGTTTCATTAGCCTCTCTTATTTATTTATTCATTTAAACACATAAACATTAGTACAAGGAGGCACCATATAGATATGCGCCACATAAATTATTCGGTTTATGAGAGGGCTGGGATAATACCCGGGTGCCCAAACTGAAGCAGGTGGCTTTCTTAGGGGACCACACCTGGAGCCTTCGACCTAAAAGTCTAATCCACAGAGCAGTGAAGTGACTTCAGGAGATCCCGTCCAATGGTAGCTGGTCATCAACAATTGGTTCATACTCCATTTGTTCCTTTAGGATCCTGGAACCCGTGTTTACCATTGGTTTGGAATCAGGGTTTTTCAACTGCCTTAGGTGGACTCTCCGTGTCTACCATTTCGGTTAAAGCACCGGACATTCGGTTTTCGTCCTCTCAAGTTCGTAAACAACACCCCTTTCGCGAGAATGTAGCGAATAGGACTTCCCTGTCAGTGGTTGTATGCACGTGGCCATGTGAGAGCATTTGGAGAGGGAGAGCTGACTCTCCCCACTCTCGGCCGTACCAGGGCATTAGCTTCTCTAACAAAATATATTCAATTGAGATAATTTGTGATCGTCATTGTCTGGTTGGCAACATAAAGATTTCATAATCATTTCTGGTTCTGTGCTTCAAAGTTGGTAACATTCAGTACAGAGATCAGTTAATCAAAATTGAGTAAAATGACTCCTGTATTCTGTGTCAAATTCAAAACAATGAATGATTTATCTTAAAACGTGAAACAACCAGAAGAAATACTTTTGTACTATAATATGAACGTTTAAAATTATGAGGGAAATCAATGTTTTCTCGTTTGCATAGTAAAAATATTAACATTAAACTTATCAAATACTCAATTCTTTCTATGTAGATTGTATATATAACATGCAAATCAACCCTAAATCTAAATTTATAATCCTAATTATAACCAGGAAATTTGGGAACTCCTAAAAGACTATTTTCATCCTTATATAGGTCCGAGTAGATGAATATTCTATAGCCATATGGATGCATTTGTCACTGTTTTTCGGCCAACAGACATAAAAATCTGTAGAAGACTTCAATAGATTCATGAATTATATTAAAATCTTTGTGGTATTATTGTTTCTCCTCATAAAATATTCATTTACAATAACTTTATTGGTAAGTGTTTAAATTATCTTGTTGTTAATATTGAAAACTGAATTTCGATCAGTCCTGGCTAAAATAGGTGCTTTCAATGATAATTACCATGGTTTAGCCATTCTTCTCAAGTTATGTGGAACAGATGAATTGTGGCTATCAGAGCAATCCTGAAACTCTCATTTCTTTCTAATTAGAACTTGTCAGTTAGGACATATCTCCATCAAAAATCTCATGTTCACACTTCGACTCGAACCCAATCTTCGAACCTCAATGGGTTGTCCGCTAAGATCCTGAATCCAGATACCTACTAACTTGTTCGGTGGGTATGATGTTTATTCCAATTTTAGTTACAATTCACTTGTTATAAGTAATTTGTGAAAATGTATCCAGCCGATCCGCATATGCTGCACATATACTAATAAAGACTGGTCAAAAGATAGTCAAGGATATCAAAAAACCGGGTAAATTAAAGCCTCATTAATAAAGATATAAATACCATATCCGTTGGACAATTTAGTGGCTACGTCAATCTAGTAAGCAATGCGTTCGTGTTTAAAACGAAAGTTACAGTCGTAGTGTCGGTTACTATATAACCCATATAACTCATTATACCTTCTGGACAGGCCAATTTATCCATTCTTCATAAGTCAAGTTTTGACACTATTAATTATTCGCTTATTAACCCTGACTTTTTTTATCTGAGCGTATGTGTGTGTACATTTGATCCTACTTATCACATATCTGTAACTTATTTTTGGGTGGTTATGAATATAAATTAACGCTTGATTAGATCGAATTGGCTCGCAGGCCTTATCCACCGCGCATCATTTCGTTTCGCTTCGTCCCTCTGATCGTCTGCCTGGATCAATAATTGTACAAAATATACGTATTCAAACATTCATTCTCGTATTTGACTTATTTTAATTCCGTTAAGTCGATAATTAGATGCGAAGATTGGCGACATATATATTCCGACATGTATATCTCAATAACAATCAATCATACGATCCAACTGGAGTCAGATCTCGGGCCACAAAACTGATGAGCCCGTCGACAACATAATCCGATCTAATTAACGTCAAAATGAAGGGCCCCATTAAAGTGGTGAGCCTGATAGGATAATCGATTTCAGATTGGATGAGAGCGTTTAGCATCGTTCTGGATAACGCATCTGCCACTTCGTTATTATTGTCTTTAATGTACTGTATGTTAGACGTGAATTGGGAAATAAATTCTAGTTGTCTAATTTTCCTCGGCGAACAGTTATCCTGCTTGGTGTTTAGTGCTTTCGTGAGGGGTTTATGGTCTGTATGCACTGTGAAAATGGTACCCTCGATCACATGTCGGAAATGCTTTATTGCCAAGTAAATCGCCAACAGTTCTCTTCCGAACGTACTATACCTCGTTTAAATAAGACTGAATCTCTTCGATAAAAATGTAAGTGGTTCCCATGTGCCATTTACTAACTGCTGCAGTACAGCCCCTACTGCTACGTTCTATGCGTCCGTCATGACGGCTAGTTGCTCTTCTCTCTTTCGTCGTACTAACATGGTCTTCTCATCTAGTGCTCTCTTAGCGTTCTCAAACGCATGTATAGCCTCTGTTGATACACCGAATGTTCGGGCATGTCCTCACAAAGCGTCCGTCAATGGTTGTAATACAGTTGCGCAGTTTGGAATAAATTGTCTATATTAGTTCATCAGTCTCATGAATCGTCGTAATTTTCTTTGTGACTCGGGCAACTTCTGTCGCAACTGGCGTGATACCTTGAGAATTTATCATATGACCCAGGAATTGCGATGATTCTATTCCAGGTTCACACTTCACATTAATAGTGACGCCATGTCCTTGAAGTTTCGTAAATTATCGTAGATGTTCTTCCACGGTAGCGCTAGCTACTAGTATATCATCGATATATGCATATACATATACATAAAAGATCTGACAATGACAGTAGAAAAAGCTGCAGGAGAAGCGACTATGATACAACAAAGAAGATGGCAGGAAAATATGGTAAACCAGTTCAACCAGTCAAGAACAAAGAAGGCAAGCTAATCACAGCCACTTTTGGCTGTGATCTTGTACAAATGTTGTTTCCTATTTTATGGTACGACGTGGTCTGTCTGGTTTGTGTATAAACCCAGTATGTTTGAAATAAATGATTCATATCGTAGAGGCGGAGATTGGTGTTCTGAACTTAACAGGCTAGGTAGGTGAGGAAGCAGGATCGCTACGGACTCTAGGCTGCTCGTACAGGTTTTATGCGCGATTGGTCCGGTCGATAATTCACTGTTCTCTAATTGACGGTTTCATCACATTATATATTGATAGGGGCACAAACCCACAAGTTCTAACAATTGGCGATGGGATGAAGAACAAAGAACCCAGGGCACAAAACTAAAAGATATGACATTATTGAAGTCAGATATAGGGGAAATTAGCCTTTACAAACTACAGAGGCATCACACTAATATATCAGTGCCGGAAGAAGTTTTCAATAGTATTGTTGAGCCGAATAAAAGATTCAGTAGAAGCTCAAATTTGCGACCAACAAACTGGATTCCGTACGGATCGGTCATATGCAGACCATTGTTGAGCAATCACGTGAATAAAATTCGTCACTATTCGTCAGCTTCCTTGACTATGAGAAGCATTTGACAGTATGGATAGGAGAACCTTATGGAATCTTCTTCGACACTGTGATGTACTTGAAAAGTTCATCATCTTATGGAATTCTTATGACGGAATACAATGCAACGTCGTGCACGGAGGTCAGGTGAAGGATGCACTCCAAGTGAAGACTTATGTCAGACAAGGCTGCTTATTTTCACCCTTTCTCTTCCTTCTGGTGGTCGACTGGATTCTGAAGACTGGTACATCTGAGGGGAAGCATGGAATATAATTGACAGCTTGGATGAAGCTGGCCTTCGCGGATAATCTTGCTCTTATATCCCGTATGTAACAATACGCTTCAACATAAGGGGGGAATATGAATATTAGGAATGAACACTGGAGGCGGATAGGACATACATTTTGGAAATCATCAAACTGCCTCACGGGACAAACCCTAACTTAGAATCCTAATGACAAAAAAGGTTGTAAACCAAAGCATATATTGCACCAAGAATTGAAGGAAGATATCAAAAGAATGAATAGAACATGAAAAATCCACAAAGGGGACCCAGGACAAAGTTGTTTGAAGAACCCTTAATGGCTCTTTATGTTCCCACGAGGATTAACAGGTGTAACCGAGTAAATAATATATAAGCATATTATTTCACCACAGGAAAAGTCTGTGATGCTGATTTTCAGTTGTGTCGTCTCTCATTAGCAGTTCTTTCAGAGTATATGTCTATAATTCAGTTTTTGAAAGTGATTGTTAGTTAACCATATTGTATCATTGCGTAATATGTATTGACCAACATTTTGTTGATCATCATATCTAATTCTAAAACTTTTTCCACCATAATACCATCATTTATATGTATGTGATATGTTTACCTTTATTACTCGATGTTATGAGATCTGTGCTCATATTTCTGTTCTTTTGAAATGTCATCAATCAATACAATATGCTGATTACATTTATTTGATTATAGTCTATCAGTAGCACATCCTTGAGTATATAACTACAATGATCCTGATTACTCTGTTATTAATAATAATTAACATTTCAGGTTAATCAACCAATAAGAGATACAGTTTTCTTTATATCGAATTTTGTTATCCCACCAATTATTCAATGTTGTCATTTCTCATCACGAATTTAGTTCGGTCAATAATTGATCATTCAATTCATTCTTTTTTCTATAATTCAATTTAATATTTTTCTTTAGGTTCAGCGCATTGTTATTGTACATGTTGTAATAGACCAATGCCTAGTCGAACAACAACAATTCCACAACTACATAGCATAAATCGAACAGAATGTGAAGTGTGCCGGCGTACATTTTGTTCTTTAATCAATCCATATGGATGTTCAACATGTGATGGTTATTGTTTATCTCGTGTACAAGGTGAGTAATCACATGTCCACCAGTGAATGTTGTACTAAATTGGCACACATAGTTATCAGCGTAGAAAGGGTTAATTAGTAATAATATTGATCTTAGTAACGAATAGAAGCAGAGAATTATATGTTAAGATTCTGTTTTTATCATTGTTTACATTACGGATCAGTTTCTATTGGTATATATGTCTCCTAATCGAACTAAACCAACTTGGACTTTTAATAAATTTAGGTCGTAGCTTGTGGTACAACCCAAGACTCATATTTTGTCCTTTTGGGGACTTGCTAGTCACTAATTAAAAGCTATATTGGAGCAGTCCTCTCAAGATAGACATATGTTACCAGAGACCGGTGATTATTAAAAAACTGGAAAGATGACATCTCTGCATGTAATTTAACAACCGTTGAACGAGTTAGTGGGCATCTGAAAAAAGTAGTTCGATGAGTAGCTCATTGAAGTGATGGGTATTGGGTTCAAGTCTAAGTGTGAACATGAGCTCTAGGATCCAGGTACATCTAAATGGCAAGTCCTAAACAGAACAAAACTCAAATTCACTTGGTGTTGTTTTACTTGTATCTTCCCATTGTTATTCAGGACTGCAATTGATCATTCTCATGTTGGCATATGTGCATCCTGTGAGGATTGCCTCGATATAGCCTTCAGTCACAAGCTTTTTAAGCAAAGATGGATAGTGGCTAGCAGTGGAATCCAATATTCATGTTCCCGGAGTGAACATCAACTCTGCGATGCAGGTACATCCGGCTGACGAGTCCCAAATGGGACGAAACGCGCGTCCTGGATTCCACTGTAAGCTTCAATTAGAATGAAGAATATAGTTTGAGAATAAATAATAAGATGGAAGTTTTAAAGTAAGTGAAGATCAAATTCATCTGTCAGTGCTACAAATTTAAGTTCATTACACTTAGAATTTCAAATCATAGCTGACGACCGTTGCACGAAAGCCAATCAGGACGTTTGTCCCTCTCGAAACTGCTTGGATCAAGAAATGTATGAACTGATGTTGTTATGGCGTAACTTAACCTCTCTTAATCTTCATCCAATTTGCTTCTAAACTGTTGTAATGGCTCCTGGAAAGCCCAGAGAAGCCTCTGGAGAGTCTAAAGGAGCCTAAGAGGTTCCACCCAATCAGAACCGAACTTTCTAGAATATCGACATGGTATGCTATGATTGGACAATCGTATAATTTCGTGCTTCCGGATTGACTGGATTATAATGTTATAGTCTATACTAAAAACTACGAATACTCCTATTTTTCTGTACACTTTTTAATACTCAATAACCGCTTCTACGTTCTTCCGTCTTTTGATTCGCGACTGTGGGCTTCTTCGTGTTAGAGTGCCGATAGCTGTATTCAAGTAGAGGACATAACATAAACTAGCTTTTGTTGTACGTTCGAGTATGTGTTGGTGGTTTAGCCCCCAAATGCCCTGGTAAGGCCGAGAGTGGGGAGACTCAGCTCTCCCTCTCCAAATGCTCTCACATGGCCACGCGTATACAGCCACTGCCAGGGAAGTCCTACTCACTGCCTTCTCGCGAAAGGGGTGTTGTTTATGAAAATGGGAGGACGAAAACCGAATCTCTGACTCTTTAACGGGTTTGGTGGACACGGAGAGTCGACCCAAGGGAGTTGGAAAACCCTGATTCCAAACCAATGATATACATGGGTTCCAGGATCCTAAAGGAACAAATGGAGTATGAACCAATTTTTGATGATCAGCTACCATGGGACTGCATCTCCTCACTTTACTCCACGGCCTTGTTGACTAGACCTTTGGGTCGAAGGTTCCGGGTGTGGTCCCCTAAGAAAACCACCTGCTTCAGTCTGGGCACACAGGCACTATCACAGCCCGCACACAAATCAAGTGACTTGTGTGGCGCATATGGACAAAATTTCACCAGTTAAATTCTTTTTCTTGATATTTCATTTATTTGATAATATCTCTAAATGAGTTCCTTGTCTCGAATATTTCAGATTTGACTAGATACAATTCGATACCTCGTAATTTATTATTGAATAATCGTATAGAGACAAGGATTCTTGATGTAAGTTATTTATCTTGAGAGAAAGAATTTTACATTATTTTTTTCCCAAGATTTTTTATTTTTATTTTAGGTACAACCATGTATATATATATATATATATATATATATATATATATATATATATATATATATATATATATATATAATATTTTGTTATCTGATTCAATCACTAATGCATCCTCTTAACGCTTGATCAACTCTAGTATAGATCGGGTGAAGACGAATACTGTGTACGCAGCTGAATTGTCGAATGATACTTAACGTTCATCAGTCAGTCAGTCAGCAACAATCTAGAACTTCGTACGTACGTACGTCAGTTCGAGTCGCCATACCACATTAGCACAGCGAAGCAATTGTCGATGCAAATCCCATAGTGGTAGAGGTAATAAAATTATTAGCAGTAATTAGGGTTTGAAGATGTTATTCAAGGAGTATAATCCAGTGAAATAAGTTTCGAAAGAGAAAAGAAGGGAGATGAATAAATCGGAGGATTAGAATTTGGGAGAATACACAGAGTGGATGCACCTGCGCCATTACAAATGATTTTCAGCCATGTCATTCAAGGTCTCTAACCATCGGTTGCTATCGTGTCGCGGATCCCAACCGGGTAGTCTACACCTACCAACATGGCTTAGTCCACTTGTCAGTGACTTCATGGATTTGTGCCATGTTTTGGTCTGGCCGCCCCCTCGGTGGTTGGGCATACGTAACACATGCCCCAGCCATCTCAACTGATAAAGTTTCAGTACTTCATCAATTGATTTGCCATCCTTACCTAGTACCCGTTTTCTAATAACTGAATTACTTACTCGATGGTCTCAGGATATACGAACGTTTCGAAGACACCTATGATCGAATAACAGTAACCTACGAATATCCTCTACTCTTACCGCCCATGTTTCACAGCCATGAAGTAGGACGGAACGAACTGCTGCACAGTAAACCCGTCCTTTGGTTGGTAGATGGATATCTCGCCTACGCCATAAATGACGCAAGTTGGTAAAAGCTAGTCGAGCTTTCTTTATCCGTGCTGAGATTTCTTCACACGTTTATTAATGGCCAGAGTGGCCCAAATAACTACATCAATAATCCATTTTACTTAAAATGACCCACTTTTACATGTTCCTTACCTACCTTGAGTTATCATGTAATTTGTCTTTTTTGGCTCCGAGTATCATATATAAGTAACTATTTGGTTAAATAGCATGTAACCACTGTTACTAAAGTGCATTTAATTCCACTTGCCAACTATTTCCTGCACAGTTCTAGGAACATAAAATTAACTACTTAATTGTTACAAGTAAAATTGTGGTATGCGCTACTTATTCATATAATTAGTGTATAACGATAGTCAGGGATAGAATGTATTTCAGCAGAAGATCAAAAAGGAAATGATGGGAATAGAAAGAAACCGGTATGGAAATGCAAGAACAATGAAATCTGAGACGGTTGACTGATCTTTCCAAAAGGAACAGTCACGTCTGAGACAATTGATTGGTATTTGGCAAATTAAGTATTTACCTTATAGTTGTCAGATCTTAGTGAGATATTCTGTAATTTTGTGTTTAAATACATTTGATTGTACTCACTCATGTTCTTGTTCACTATAGAGTCTCAATGTTACTTATTCATATGAAGGGAAATTATTTGTTAAATTTAATACTATCTCTGGATCAGTTCTTTGAATGATAAACGTTGATTTCTGCTTTCTCAAGCATTTTGACAACTTCTCATATCAAGCGCTATATCTAGTCTTTATGAAGTTTTTCATTTGACATTTTTGAACGTATAGTAGTCAAGAATTATTTCTTCATGTAGTGATTTTTTGATGACTTAGAATTGTAATTCTCCAATTGCCTATAGTATGTAACCACTTTTTAAGAAGGAAAAATCATGTTAATTATATCTGTTGGTTATAAATAATTATCAGTATAGGGTTGTGGAGATTGTTGAGTTTCTTTGAGATCATAGACCGGTTTTTTGGACCTTTGGAAACTTGAAAGCACCGGAAATCCTTTTCGTTGTGGCACGGAACTCCTCAACAATGTGAATTCCTGATCACACACGTAGAACTCTGACCCAGAACCCTCGATTTCGCGCGCGAACGCTTAACAGTTAGTTTTACAATATTGTAAATACATGTTCATACAATAAATTATTGATTAATCAATGTCAAGTACTACTCAGTTTGATGTATACAAATCTGACTGTTAATCAGTACAAACTATATGAAACTTCATATTCATTTTGGTTGTCAAATAAATCCTCATCTATCGTCCTTATGTTCTTATTTGCGACGTAAGTTTCACGGGTTTAATTATTCACTAACAGTTACCTGTCGTTACAACAATTGTCGATGGGTATTTTGGTAAATAAAATAAATCTTCCTCTACAGTCAGTTTTCGTGTTCTTATTTGCATCTTGGAAATTGCAGAGGTTTTCAGTATCAAGTATCACACTACATCTCACGGTTATAATACCCTAATTTAAATATTATCGGCTGTTTGAATCTGATTATCTCTGTCCAACATCGTTTGTTTGAATTACAAACAACAGAAGAATTTTTCGACTGATATTGTTTACTCAAACCATCTATTCCAATATGATGTTCACTTCAATGAATCGATTCGATTATGTTCATTTGACATTATGTAGTGTTACCATGCTTTGTTTAAAGGTATGATATATCCATTTAAATTATTATAATATCAGATGGGTTTTGTGGAGATTGTAGTAATTTTTTTGGTTAAGCTCATGAGTCAGTTGAAGCTAGACCATCATGGAAAACCTGGAAACACTGGAGTCCCACAATAGGACGAAACGGCCGTCTAGCACTTCCAGGTTTTCCATGGTGGTCTAGCTTCAACTGACTCATGATCTTAACCATTTAAATTATTTTACTTCAACAATCTGATGCATGTCAATCAGTGTGAACGACTTCAATTATTCGATTGACTTTTCATATACTGATTCGTTCGGTATCAGGATATGAACATAATAATAAACAAAACTATAAAACAAACTAAAGTAATTCTGACGAATGTCTGGCTACATTGGAAAATATCATTTTTGACATAATATCTGAAAATGTACTGGATTTGATATAGTTTAGGATAATTAGCGTTTACTAACAGATAATACAGCCCCCTGACTGTAATCAGTTTTCAACGGAAATTACCTTAATAGTGTACAAGCTTCATGAAATCACCCAACTTAGTAGTAACCTTCCGGAGCTGGTCTTCACCACAGATTGAACTCATTTTGGATACCATGAATTGATTGTAGTTAGATCTGTATACCGTCGGATGTCAACTCAACGGTCTAGAGGACCCAACTCCCGATGGGATCTCATAATGTAAATAAACAGCTGTCTAACGCTTTCTGATTTTCAGTAATATCCAATCTGAGGTCAATCTTTGGTTAATATCACCTCCGTACACAATGGGTTCACCTAGAGGAGTTGGGAAATCCTGATTCCAAATCAATGGTCCACATGAGCTCCAGAATTCTGAAGGAACAAATGGCGTATGAACTAATTGTTGGTCACCGGCTACCATAGGACCGTATCTCCTTACGCTGCTCCACTGCCTTGTAGATCAGGCCTTCAGGTCGAAGGCTCCGTGTGTGGCTCCCTTGGGAAAACCACTTCGGTCTGGGCATCCGGGCAGTATCATAGCCCACACACAAACCAAGTGACTTGTGTGTGCATCTTTTTACCAGTATTTATAGAAATAGCCTCTAGATAAAACGTATATTAAAGAAATTATTGATTTATAAACTTCTTGTTTCGATTTCTTCTCTTAGGATTATCTTACCTCTCAGGGTATTTCAATTCCAACATTTATCAATCATTGTTTAACATTTTATATTAATACAACATCAATTTATTCATCATGTATATTAGATAGAAATTCATTAATTTGTAAAAATTGTAGTGAACGTTTACTTAGTCAATTAGCTTATCAATATCGTTTATCTATATGTCCAAATGAATTACCAACTGATGTAATTATTAAACCAAATTGTTATTATGGACAATATTGTCGTTATCAAAGTTATAATTATAATCATGCTAGACGTTTTAATCATATTTGTGAAAGATCAATTTAATTTAATTTTATTTTATTTTCATTTAATTTAATGATATTCTTTCATATCCCTTCTTTTAAAAGAAGGGAGATGAATACTACTCTTTTTTGCCAATAAGTAGTCATTAGTAGTATATACAGCTTCTTTTTTTCCCTTTTTGTTGTTGTTATTGATTTATTAATCTGTATGACAATCTCTTATATATTTTATTGAAGATTTCTGCATTTACCTTATAGAAATTGTTCTATTTTGTTGTGTTTAAGAGTCATAGAGACTATTACCATTTTTGTCTTTTTTTCTCCTTTTGATTATTTTTCTTTCCCCTTGAGAAAAAAAAATTTTTTTCAAATCAGAATTGTTAAAATTTCTTTTAAATAAATTGAATATTCATCATAATAGTTGAGATCATAAGTTAATTAAAGTTACACTACCATGGAGAACCTGGAAGCACTGGACGACCGTTTCGTTCTACTGTGGAACTCCTCAGTATTCATTGATTTAGTGTGTATTTATGTATTTTTGTTTGGATATATCTGTTCACTTTGGAAAACAATGAATCAATGGATACATGCAGTTACTGTTAAATAAGTTTTTCGGTGAGATTATAAATTATGGATGACCTTTGAACGACGCTAAAGTGACTTTGAGAGCGTTTACCTATAATAACTAGGACGAAATGAGGGTTATAAACCTGTGTGAAGAATTCGAATTACAATTTACTGTTGATAGTTAGGGGCTAGGAATTAGATTTCGAGTTTTCATCACGAACTGACATCAGCTATAATGCCAAAACTGTATTTAGCTGAACAGATGGGTGAATTTCGCGCCAAAATTCGAGTCCTGTTATCTTATACCTGATTGGTTCGTCCATAAATTGTAGTCTCGCCGGTTTTTCTACTGAATTTATAATTAAAACCTTTAGAACAAGGATAATGTATGCGAAAATACGGATTAATTGACAGTAATCACAAGCTCCAATCGTTTGCGTAGAATAATTACTCATCAGTTATTAATAATAGTGATGAATAGCATCTGTAATTCTGTTTAACAGTCTGCTTAGTTGCTCGTACGGACTTGAGAACTCGAAATTTCGATTATAAATAGACTGACATGCACTATTGAAGTCTGTAAAAAAAAGGTTTATGAACTTACACCTGTTACTCATCGTCAAGGGCATTGGCCGACTACTAGCACTCTCCGTCCAACCCTGTCCTGGGCTATCCTTTCCAGCTCTTCCCAGTTATTATCCATCCTTTTCATATCTGATTCTATTTCCCGACGTAATCTGTTGTTTGGCCTCCCTCTTTTCCGTTTCCCTTCAGGATTCCAAGTTAGGGCTTGTCTCGTGATGCAGTTTGATGATTTCCGTAATGCATGTCCTATCCATTCCCATCGTGTTTTCCTAATTTCCTCTTCATCAGGAGTTGGTTTGTTCTCTCCAAGTTTCAGCTCCGTATAGTAGAACTATCTTGACGTTCGTATTGAAAATTGTGACTTTGATATTGGTTGAAAGTTGTTTTGAGTTCCATATGTTCTTCAATTGTAGGAATGCCGCCCTTGCTTTGCTAATCCTCGCCTTTACGTTTGCATCTGATCCCCCTTGTTCATCGATTATGCTTCACAAGTATGTGAAGGATTCTACATCTTCCAGAGTTTCGCCATTAAGTGTGATTGGATTGCTGTTCTCCGTGATGCATTTGAGGACTTTGGTTCTCCCCTTGTGTATGTTGAGGCCTACTGATGCAGAGGCTGCTGCTACACTGGTTGTCTTTATCTGCATTTGTTCGTGTGTATGCGACAAGTGGGTAGGTCATCTGCGAATTCCAAATCGTCTAATTGGTTCTGAGCTGGCCATTGTATGCCGTATTTTTTCTCCGATGTCCAGGTCTTCATAATCCAATCTACCACCCGAAGGAAGGGAGTGAGTGGACAGCCTTGTCTGACTCCGGTCTTACTTGGAATGTGTCTGTCAGCCTTCTTCCATGCACGACCTTGCACTGTAGTCCGTCGTATGAGTTCCGGATAATGTTGACAATCTTCTCAGGAACTCCGTAGTGTCGAAGAAGTTTCTACAACGTTCTCCTATCTACACTGTCGAATGCCTTTTCATAATCAACGAAGTTGATGTGCAGTGACGAGTCCCACTCAACTGATTGTTCGACGATGATCCGTAGTGTCGCAATTTGGTCTGTGTTGGGATATTCAGGAAAATATCCCAAAAATTATCCTGTTAAGCCTAATGCTATCCTTGAACATGAAATGGTATCATTTTATTGGTCAATATTTATTTAACGTGTTATTTTCCTGTTGGCCAATATTGTACAATGTTATTTTCTATTTTGTGGTACGTTGTGGTCTGCTTGACTGGTATATAAACAAAGTATGTTTGAAATATAATGATTCATATAGCCGAGGCTGAGACTTGCGTTCTGGACGTAACTGGCTGAGCTAGACAGGGAAGCGCGGCCAATCAGAACCCTAAGTTGTTCTACGTGTTTGCGCGTCTTTGGTCCGATCAATAATTCGCTACTCCTTAATCAGCAGCATTTTTCACGTTATAACAGTCTGTCTGTTTATGAACGGTGAATTCTATATAACAACATGGAAAACTGTATAAATTAGTGTATACCGAATTGGTAAATGTATTTGCAAATGAAATACGATATACCTGAACGACGCCCCACTCAGCAGTTGCAGTCACTATTATTATAATTTAGTAGTATCAGATAGGAATAGTAAACGATTAAACATTAGGAATGGGTATCACCTACTTGGAGAAGAATAAAGAGGATCGTAACAACACAAGAGTAGTGTTCTAGCCAAAAAAGGGCAGAATTATCAACAGTTAAATCGCTGTGATGTGATCAATTAACTATTCAAAACAGTAGACTTTCTTAACGCCATCGGGAATAGTTCTAGTCAACTGGATTAATTAGAAGGACGATTATCTACTATGGCAGCTATCGGAATTCGAGATGTAAAATAAAACATGGGTGGGACTGATAAACCTAACTGGACGCTAGATTCGGTTTCCTAAGCTCTTTTAGTAACCCTCAAGCTAAATCTACACAGCAACTTAGACACTTCGGAAATTATAAGCAATCTGATAATAATATCTCCAAACCAATCGAAATATAAAATGTGTGGTCAAATATGGCGAACATGGAAACTCGGAATCGAAATAGTATGGCTCGATCATACAGGCGTGGTCACTACGTAACGTAATCCTTCTTCACATTAAATAAATCATCCTATCACCAACCCAAATGTGTTCTTAAGATGTGTAAATTATCACCTACTATAATTCAGCGATAATATTCTCGAGTATAAGTCTCTATTTTTGCTCGAGTTGTTTCTTAGCCCTGTTAATCACAAAAGTCCTGGTCCTTGTACTTTGTCTAAGAAATTTACGTCTGTTAAGAAGGGAGGAGGTGCAACAATGCTGTGTACTTCATGGTGAGTACTCTGAACAGTTTTGGGGTGATTGTGATAAGTTGTCTTCATAAAGCTAGGAGTTGCATATAAGCTGTCTGCAAGTAGTAGTTATACACCTTAGAGTGAATTTTTATACCGTACTTAGTTTGTTCGTGTTTCATGGGTCTGAATGTTTGTGGAGTGGCAGTTTGACAGGTCACTTTTCAACCCACTGTCCACTGCTCATTTCCTTATTGTCACAAATTCCTTCTGAAGCTCATGTGGATAAATTTATCCATTTATAGACCCTCAGATCTTTGCAACATCTGCATTGATTAGTGACTCTGAGTCAGTTATTATGACCAGAAAGAGGAGCAGAACTAAGATGACCTCAGGAGATCGTCCAGCTCTCTCATGTTATAAAGAGATCTGACGCATATGAACCGCCTCTCCCAAACACATATTTTGCTTCATGGATGACGTTTTCTGTTCATGTACTGCGTTATTTGTCCACTGACCACTTCTTCCCTTATCTGTGACAGTATTGGCAGTAATGCTTACAATCTGTACCAAGAAGGATCTACTATATCTCCTCCGTTACAGATTGGAGAGGAAGTAACCAGTCTCCGTCCTTTTGGAAGTATATATGGCTCTAGGAAGTGCCTGAAAAGATCACACACTAATGAAGCGATTTTTCCCGCATACTGTTTCAGAATTAGAGGGTGGATACTATCACATCTTGGTGACTTAACTTGGAGCAGGAATTTTAGTTTTCTAGTACTAGCCCAGAAATTAGTTGGATACTAACCAGGCGATCAGTTAGCACCAGGGTTAAGGAGTGTTCTGTGCTTGTAGCTTCTCGTCAACCAGTCGACAAAGTTGGTATTGAGGATTCCTCTCATCCTAATTTGATAGAATATCTGTAGAATTATGGTCTACTATGATATTAGTACTGCTCTAATAATAAACCTAATCCTAAACTTGTCGATTTGTCATGATATAACTGCCTAATCTATAAGATCTTACGTGGAAGTCACACCATCGACTACACCAACTCACTGTATCGTATCAATTACCAATACATGATGAGGAACAAGGTTAGGCTAGAGAAAGAACAATATATTTAATATGAATAGAAGATATAAAGTAACACTGAGATGGACCACGTCTGCATGGACGAGCCATGCCACTCGATCAACTCCAGTTTATTCAATTCCTTGTTCGCGCCTTCTCCATTGTTAGGTATTTCTCCGCGTTAAATATTGAATATCTATTTTCTGAGTAGTCTTGTGTTCAGCTTTGAAGATTGTGTGGTTATGGTCCAATGCCACTACACTACTCTGCCACCAGAATCAACGTGATGTTGGTTCGATACCAAATTGGATGGGATCGTCGCGCGCCGGAGGTTACCAAGGATAATAAGAATCCTCCGGGTATTGGTAAGCTGAAAGATAAATCAAAAAGAAAGCGGCAGCATCTGGTCGGGAAATACATGTAATAATTTTAAAATATCTGCCTTCATGCTTAAAACGCTTGAAATGAAAATTTGGGTGAAGATTATTTGAACTATAAAAAATGAGATTATAATAATAATAATAATAAAACGATGCGTGTTAATAACTTAACTTATAAGCAGTAATTATTTTGTGTTTAGAAATATTAAAATAATGAATATTGTAGAAATGTTAATATTGGTATTAGTTTTGGTTTAAATTATGAAATCAGATAACGATTATGCCGGTAACTTGTCCATATGAGTTGAATTCCAATTGCATCTGTATTAGTAGGCTAACTGAAGGAACAAAAGTATACCGTGGAGAAGATTTCCAACTAGTGTTCCAGTTAGTTTGATACGGTTTATTTAGTTACGGGGAGATTTTCTCAACCTCATTTTTACTTGACCGTGATAGAATTTAGTAATACTACTAATACACATGAATGGTTATCAAAATAAAATTTAAATACATGAGTGATGATTATATGAATTTTGGACAGATAGCTAGGAACAAATTGTTAAACATGAGCGTATTCGTAAGAGACATGCTCTAGACTCAATGTTCTGATCTGTGGCAGACTATTTATTTGTATTTATACTTGCCGGCTGATTGGGCATACAAGTTAGTTGCAAGTATGCAGTTTATTATAAGTCGGAATACGATTTAAGTGAGATA